ACAATTAGATCGTTACATTATCATTTTCTTTCTTCCTTGCTGTAGGTATTGACTTCTGAATTCTTCGATTTCTTTAAATTCACACTTCACAAGCACTCTGTGGTAGTGTGTTCCACTTCATGACCAACAGCTAATAGGCAAATGCTGATTATTTGACTAACAGATAGATTATTCTGAATTATTTCGATATATATGTGGACTCATGCAATAATAACACACACATACTTTTTATCTATTTCGTAATCCCATTTTGATATTGCAGTTTTGTTGAAAGTTCTCAGCTTCTCCTTCTTTCTTTTTCTTGGCGCTTTCTGTACAGGTAAAAGAAGATTGAAAGATCTCTTGGTTCAACGAGATAATCGTGTGTGTGCAGATTGTAATGCTCCAGACCCAAAATGGGCGTAAGTTCCTCCTTTGGATTCATGCACTGTTGTTTGTTTCCATATATTATTATAGTGGTAACAATATAAGAGCCATGAGAAAAGCTGAGTAGTTTCGGCATTCACCATCGCCAATATTCCTGTGTCTGGGGTTCAGAAAGAAAAAGGGAAGCCTTTGGATGCCATAAACATGGAATGGAATAACGGAATTAATAAATAACACTTTCACCTACGTAAAGCCAACTAACGGAACAAGTAAAAAAATAAAAGAATAGAGAAAATATAACGTTGATATGTTCATGTTAGTTAGGATCAGTAGAATGCATCATTAAACCATAACCAAACACGACACCCAGAAAAGGTCCTTTAATATGTGATTCTGGTAGGAGTATGAATAGTACAGATTACATTATAACCTCCTTAAAGTGATAGATGAGCCTTGTGGAGCCTTTTTACCAATTTGTTACAAATTGATGTGCATGCTACGACTGTGCAAATTTTTTGTAAATATATTCTGAACTTGGAGTTCATGTGTTCCGATCTAAAGTTATGGCTATGAGCAAGAATGTGTAACAAGATTGATAATGATAATTAGAGCTTTCCAAGAGAGAACATTCTCTTGGATCCAACCATTTTTACTGTAATGAGGATGAATGAAATATTTTGCTTTTTATTTTCTATAATGTTGCATTGTTTTCTTTATTTTCCCCTTTTGACGATTTTTAGAATTGTCAATGCCATTACAGGTCAGCAAATATAGGAGTATTTATTTGTTTAAAGTGTTGCGGAGTGCACAGAAGTCTTGGTACTCATATTTCGAAGGTGACTACTGATAACTCTCGTCTCCAATCTTCTGGGCTATATTCATACCTAACATAATTGGAAATCCTGCAGGTTTTGTCTGTGACATTAGATGAATGGTCAGATGATGAAATCGAATCAATGATTGAGGTTGGCGGAAATGCTTCTGCAAATTCAATTTATGAAGCCTATATTCCTGAAGGAATCTCAAAGCCTAGACCAGATGCTAGCCACGAACAGCGTTCAAAATTTATCAGGTCAGATGAAATGTATAAACACTAAGATTATTAGGCCTTTCAAATGCTATGGTTCTAGCTCTCTCTCCCCCTCTCCCCTTCCTGTTTGGTGAAGATCCCCACCCACAACAATGAACCAAAAGAATTAAAAATAAAAATGTAACACCTGAACAACAATCTAAGTAAATATTGATGATTTGAGATTGAGCTAGTCACCCTGATCAGACATTTTTTTTCTTGCTTCATCAATATCAACATGACTTGTCTTCTCTAAAACGCTTGTTTTTTCATCTTTTTGGTCTATTTATGCATTCATGGAAGGTCCAACCATAAGAGAACGTTATTAGAACTGTGACAATGTATTCAGGTTGGATAATTTATGTTGTTCTGTATTAATTTTTTAGGTCTAAGTATGAGCTGCAAGAATTTTTGAAACCTAGCCTACGTATTGCCTCAACTTCAAAAAAGAGTTCTTTGCAAGTAAGTTTATCCAGGAAGATTATGGATAGTTTTCGAAGCTCGAGTTCAACACAGAAATCAGTAAGTTGTCTTTGCTTGTTTGCAACCTTCCACCTCCTTCGTTTTTGTTTCACATACTTTTTGTTTCAGTCAACTTGATTGGTGTTATAAAACGAACATAAATTGATTTGATGAACGAGAATTTTTATTATGGTGTACATGCTGCCTTTCTTCACATTTATTTGCAATAGTATGGAGAATCTTTTAATAAATTATGTAGAACAGATACCATTTAAGGAGATATGACATAATATTTGAGATAGAACAATCTCAAATAGTATAAGAAATTTACTCTGTGAAGCTAATGCTCAATCTGATCACAGGATGGTATGGTGGAATTTATTGGAATGTTGAAGGTCAAAGTACTTAAAGGCACAAAATTGGCTATTCGAGATATGCTATCTAGCGATCCTTATGTGGTCTTGACCCTGGGGCAGCAGGTTAGAAAATCTCTCATTTTATTTGATTTTGGGACAGGGCAATGAAAGAAGTAACAGTGCTGGTGAAAATTTTGCCATCAAGATCTGCTTATGTTCTTGTTTCACAATTCTGACTTCTTGGCTATTGATGGAAAACTATTAATTTTCCAATTAGACCCTCTTGTCAAGATTTTTAAGCTGTTTCTTTGTGTTATTAGAAAGCACAGACGACTGTGGTTAAGAGCAATCTGAATCCTGTTTGGAACGAGGAACTCGTGCTTTCAGTTCCACAAAACTGCGGCCCAATAAAATTGGTAATTCTTCTCTTGCTGTTCGTTTCCATTTTCTTAATCAGGAAAACAATTTTTCTTGTTAGTTTCTTGTATTTTCTATGGCATTTTCTGTTTCATACATGTTTTCTACTTCCTCAGCATTCTTCTCTTCATATATATGCACACATTCATACATGGCAATAATCACCATCCACCAAATGCTCCTGGATATATCATTGTATCTAATCTTTCGACTTCTCTAAACTCCAAATCGCAGCAAGTTTTTGATTACGACACATTCTCTGCTGATGATATAATGGGGGAAGCCGAAATAGACATTCAGCCAATAATAACCTCTGCAATGGCCTTTGGAGACGCTGGAATGTTCGGAAACATGCAGATTGGAAAATGGCTGAAATCGCACGACAATGCCCTGATAGAAGATAGCACAGTAAACATTGTTGATGGGAAGGTGAAACAGGAATTATCGCTGAAGCTCCAGAATGTAGAATCTGGAGAATTAGAACTGGAGCTAGAGTGGATGCCTCTTGAACAATAGGTGTATATAAATGGTTGAATTCTATATTTTTTCTTCCTCTTATTCTTCTTTCTCCTGTAGGTATTCTTCTTGAACAATTTCATGTATGAATTTTTCATTGGAAGTTGCACATACATGATGTTGTATTCTTTATCAAATAATATTATTGCAGAAATGATCCATTATTTTACTGGGTTCTGATCTTAATTACAGAAACTAATGGTGTTTATGATCATTAAGTTTAGTGACTAATTTTAAATGGAATGCACTATTTATTGGTCACAGAATCGATTTCAGTGATCAAAGGGGAAATAATTTAAAGTGTAGTGATTACATATTTACGAGAATACAACAAACACTTCAGTATTAAATCAAAATTGTTTAAATAATACAGTAATACTTACTACTTATGAGCCAAAGCATTAGGCGCAGAAGTTGGAGCTGACGAGGATGCTGATTTTTTCTTATTCTCCTTTCGGAGACGAAGAAGAAATATAATCCCGGCGACGGAGAGCAATGCGACGCCGGTTAATCCACAGATTAAGCTGGCCACAAGCAATGACCTCTTCAAGTGTTCACCACTCGACCTCCCAACCTTGTGATTGCTCCACCACGTGGCCGGATCGCTGAAATTCTTGGTCTTTGGCAGCGGTGCGGAGGACGACGATGTCGTTGCACCGAAGAAATATAGCATTTCTGCGGTTCCGTTTGCTTTCATCGGCGGTGACGAATCTTGATAGGATAAGCCGTGGTCCGATGGACGGAGCTCCCTGCCGTCCGATTGGCTGATAACTGTGAAGATCGCAACGAATGCCACGACACCGTACTGAAAGTAACAGTTCAACATTTCTGTTTACTATTGACTCTTGATCTTTCCTTGGAAGAGAAGAATGCGCGGAACTGGTAGTTGAGTATTCTTTTTCTAAGAGTGAAATTTACAAATTGTCACTGAAGTTCGAGTGAAATTTCAAATTGGTCATTAAAGTATTTTTTATGATTCATTTAATCACTGAAGTCAAATAATATTACATAATTAGTCACTCATTTGACTTCATCTGCTCCAAATCCAACATCGACGAGTAATGTTATTTGCAGTTGCTCACTGTCATAGTCGTCCACTCGTTCTACGTGGTATACATATAACGATTAGTGATTTGATGCCTTATGTCATGTAGAACGATTATAGTAATGAACGATTACAAATAGTATTATTCAATATTGACTTAGGCCCCGTTTGGTACACATTAATGTTAAAATGAGAATGAAAAATATAGCCGTTACGAGCACCACACAAAAGATAGAAGGTCAAATATGGTGGCTTAATATGATTAATAACGGTCATATTTTTCATTTTAATGTACAAAAAATGAGAAACAAACGGGGGCTTATTGTACCTTTGTATATTGCTCTGCCCATATTCTTAAACTTAAGTTTTTCAAAGTATAACATAATTTAAATTAGGAAATCTCAAATAATTCCCTCAACTCTAATCTTATTTTTCATCGCTTTGATGATCGTTAGTCGATGTAAAGATTTAACTGTTATCACGTTATATATGATGTTAATCAGACAAATAGAATGACCAATTACATAGCAAAAGTTAATTTCACAGTTATAGATTTCTTGAATGTCAATGACCATTAGTGAAATTAACTATTTTCTCCCCGAAGTTGCCAAAAGGCCCTAACTACAGCAGGAAGTGCGTGAAAACTGATCCTGGCCTGATGCATTCCGCCGTGTGCTATGTTGTCCCGTTGCTTATGTTGCTTGATTCGTATCCCAAGTGTTCCGATATTACAAACAAATAAAGAATGGATAAGTGAGTTCGTATTGTTGTTTATATAAGGATTACTATTTAACCATTAATTTAAGCCCGCGTTTGATTCTGATTTTTCACCCAAATAAATCAATTTTTGATCGTTACTTAATTTGATCAGTCATAATTTTTTACTTCTTCACTCATAGGTGAAATCCACTTTTCTTTCTAACAATCAAAAAATCAATTCTTACAATCACTACCGAACAAACTCTAAGTATTTTTAACTTCAATTTGATTGAAAACAACTGATTTTGATTTTTATCCCAAAAACTAAAAATATATTGAAACAATAAAAATATGGAAAAGCTAAAAAGTTGGGGTTTTATACGATGGTTAGGTGCTAGTATTCACGAGTTTACCATAGCCATCCCCTAAATATCAATCATCGAATTTCAAAAATAGCTGTGTGTACTAATAAGTATAACTATTACACTTATATATGCCTTCAAATTAACCTTTGTAAGTATTTATGATGAATTTGATACTTAATTATGCTTGTTAATTGATGATTTTAGGAGAAAGTTTGGCATTGGATGAGAATGGTCAAAAAGGAGCGAGAATCTATCAAAAATTATTAAAGTTGGATGAAACCTGGAATTTTGGGGATGAAGATATCAATTTGCGGAGTTGAAGAAAATTGGTCAGGAGATACACAACCAATTAAGGAAGAGTTGAAGATCTTTGTTGGAATTTGTGCCCCAAAGTAAAAGAATGGGTAATTCCTACAAAACCTCCCTTTCTTTCAACGTTTTTGTTGAAAAGGTTCGTACCTTTCATTTTTTAACATTTTCATCCTTACTTTCCACCTTTCATTGTATAAAAGGTCATTTTCATCTATTTTTGATGATTTTACCCTCCTATTCAAATAAAAAAATAAAAGAAAAGAAAAAATTAAAAATTAATTGCAACTATAGTCCCAAATTTTCAAAAAATTACCAATCAGTCAAAAATCGATTGCATCCTTTCATATTAAATATATACAGGAATTTTCTAACCTCAATCTATTTTAATTAATCAACAAAATACATTTGCTCCAATCCATTAAAAGCGCAACATTACCTATCTCACTTTCCCAATCATACAACATTGAATTTTTCTTGCAAGCCTCGAGAATTGCACTCATTGAGCAGTTCATACATCTCACTTTATGAAACTTGAGAAAAAGGTAGTTTGTTCAACGCAAGTGAATGACATAGAGCCGAAGCTATGGAAATAGTTTATAAGGCTCTTCTGGAGTTCTTTGACAACTTGGAGCCTTTGCCTCCCAGATGTTAGGAAGAAGGGTTTATGGGTTCTGAAGGGGTAGTGGAAAATGGTGCATGAGGGCGGTAAGTGAAAATATGGAGGTGCATGGATTTTGTTCCAATCGCAAGAAATGCTAAACTCAAGAGAAGGTAAGTTTTGACCCCAATTTATCTTGAAACGGTCATAATAGCCTTGAATCCTTTAGAAAACAATATTTGACTTGTTAAGAAGAACGAGGATTTTTATTAGGAATTTCAATGGTTTGTGAATGGAAATAAAGTTGTTGCTCTCAGCATGATTATAAACTGTTTTTGAAATCACATATTCCTTAATTGGAGTAAATCTTAGTCAATTTTATTGATTTTCTTTTGGTTCATTTATTATCAGGAAAATGAACGAGTTCATTGTGTTATCCAATTAATTTTATAGCAGAGGCCAGGTGGTGCCGGGTGTACACAGCTTCCTTCATCGAGGGGAGCAATTAGTAATTTCTGGTTGATTTGTAATTTTTTGAAATTTTGGGACTATAACTATGGTTGCAATTAATTAATTATTTTTTCTTTTCTTTTCTTTTTGTTTTATTTGAATATGATGGTAAAATTGTCAAAACGGATGAAAAGGACCCTTTGCGCAATGAAAGGTGAAAGGTAGGGATGAAATGCCAAAAAATGAAAAGGTAGAGATGTTTTCTACAAAAATCTTGAAAGGTAGTGTAGAACCCCAAATAATTCTAGACACCTTAGTGGCACTAAGACATGAATATTGGATGACTAAAGTATACTTTAGATTTTTATTTTCATTTGAGACCCATTTTCGACATAGGAAACATTCGATTTGGAAAATGATATCTAAATAAAAGTTGTAACTCTTTGAGTTAGCTTTCCAACGCACTTTGAATTACCTCAATCGGATATCGGGAGAAGAAGTTATGATAGAAACACTAAAAACTGTGCAGTGTCAACGGGACTACAACCGGTCGATCGAAACTGCCTGAAATGAAAATTCTCATTTTTCTCTAGAATTTAAATATTTATTTTCAACAATTATTTTTTCAAAGGGCCACCCACATTTTTGGCAATAAAAACCCTGCTAAATTGAAGTATTTAACCTCAAATTTAAATGGCACTCATGTTTTCTCTCTTAAATGAAATTTGACCATTCATTTGCATTAAGTTATGGGATATTTACCTATAAATAGAGACCTCATTTCACTAATTTTTTCTCACATCAAAAGCAAGAGTTTTTACATACTAAAGAAAGAGTTTCCAAGAGAGAAAAAGAGGGGGAGGAAAACTATTTTTCCTAGAAGTTTAAGAAGTGTTTTTAAGCATCAATTCTCAACGATTTTTAAACATTCAAGGAGTGCATTTCTTCAACGTCCAAGTTTCATCGAAATTTTCAATTCAAATTTTCAAAGTATCTAAAGCATCAATCAAGGTAGGTAGAGGTGTAATGTGTTTAATCATATTAAGTTATAAGTTTCGATTCATGTTAATGTTTGTATGTCAAATGGTACTTCAATACGGCATACCGCTCTATGTTGAAGAAAAGTTATAAAATTAATATTTTGAAATGTATAGCTTGATCACGAATACACCTATGACACCTATTGAGTTTTTCAACTCACGGGTTTAATCCCATCTCTACAGATTGAAGGAATTTTACATCGGGCATGGATGGAGGAGAAGATGGAGAGTGATGCAATGAGCCTATGGAAATCCGGTGAATAAGTGATTTGGATTTATTTTTATGAAATGTTTTTCAATGTTATTTCTTTAAAGTTTTGAATAACGCAGAATACGAGAACAGGTTATATTTTCTTCAAATAAATTACATTTTGTTGTTTTGAAAAATGATTCAGTGTTTTTATTTAAAGTATTTGAAGTATTGTTATTTAAATTATTATCCTAAGATGTAAGCTTCCGCTAAAACGTATACACTTATTACTAAACCACCGATTAAGCTAAGTAAAGTAAGTAGCGTTCCGGTCCATTAGGGGTCGGGGCGTTACAGCGTGGTATCAGAGCAAGGTTTAGCCGGTTCTGTAGACCAAGTATTTTTTTTAAAAAGAAAAAGAAAATGAAAAGTTTAAGGTATTCCATGGCATCGTGTATCCATCCATCAATCTCATCCTATGGCCCAGGTATGTTCATGTTTAAAGTTAATGATTATGTTTATGTTATGATGCTTTGATATGATTTAGAGATGCGTTATTTAAAGATATGTAATGGACTTGGGCAAAAGCTAAGGGTTTAAAGGGAATTGCATGATATGAAAGTTTAAATATTTGCATGTTTTCTTTAAGCAAAGAAAAAGTATGATGTATGTGAAAATGCAATAGATATGGCTCGTAGAACGGCTATGGCATATAGAGAAGCATTGAACCGTAGAATTGCTATACATTCCTATGAAAACTATGTAACTGATCCGACCCGACCGCTTAGCGAACATGTGCATGACATCTATGAGAGATGCATGACGGCGGTTAATGTTGGAATGGAGATCACGCATATTGAGGCCATAAATAACCTCATCCACTCCCTCCCACATCAATGGGAAGATATGGGAGTCACAGTTAGAGATAAAATGTTAGAAGGCAACCCAAACCTGTTCGAGTTTGAGAGGTATTGCCATGCCCTGATTGATTTGTGGGATGATGTAATTCATGAGGAGCCTGAAGAGGAACCTTTAGCTGAGGAAGAAGATCCCAAAGAAGAACCTGAGGATGATTTAGAGAATGATCCTAAGCCTGAGCCACAGGTTGAGATGGACATAGAGTCCGGACCTGAGGCGGAAAACTCCTCCGAAGATGAAGCTCCACCAAAGAAGATCCGTAGAGCTTATAGGGATTA